GGAGCGGCGATCGTATCAATCGTTTCTGCATTCACTGTCTCTGCGATCGATGGATGAGCTCATCATCTCTTCATCACATCATAACAAACACATGACTCACTCCACGGATGGCTATCAGTGATCACAACGAGTGCCGTTTACTATGGGATCAGTTGATTGCAAACACAGTCGACAAACACACAAACAAACGGCTCAGACAACAATTGAGATCAAGTTATGGTTTGTTGTCATGTTATGTAATGTTAAGCCTATTCTAGGTTTGAGTCCAAATATTCATACATTCAATGCATTCAACGCTTACTTCAATACAGTCTTCAATACATCCAATACATGCACTCAACACAGCTCTACAATACAGTCAATACAGTCTACTCGAGTCGACTCTACTCTTGTCGACAAACCCGTAGACCTATCCTAACCTCCAATCACACCAGTATTTTTTTGGCCTATTCCCAGGGTGTAGGAAAATGACCCCTAAGTATTCAAATTGCAATATGTAGCGTCTAATATTAATGTAGAGTACTATACAAATATTGCAATTTGAATACTTAGGGGTCATTTTCCTACACCCTGGGAATAGGCCAAAAAAATACTGAATCACACCATCACACAGTCTAACACCGCTTTCGCATACACTCCACACTCAATCACCGCAACAACCCTTCAATCACACAACCAGTCAATGCATAGCAAGAAATGTCAATTGCTTTCAATCATAATTGTTTGATAAGTATATTAAAAGTGATAAATACTAACAATTATAACAATTTTAATGCATTTAATAACCGCTAATCACTAATAACTGGACGCAATGTAAATGAGTGAATGATTAATGCGTAACCAATAGCGAGAGTGGACTGTAAGGCATACAAACAAACAGTGTTATTGAGAAATGAATTAATTTGTTGTGAATTGTAGTGAAATATATAGTGGACTGTCATAGCGTTGAGAGGAAAGGACGGCATAGTGTTGGCGGCCGAGAAGTTGGTGGCCTCCAAACTGTACGAATCGGGTGCTAATAAACGCCTGTTTAATGTGGACCAACACATCGGTGTTGCCGTCGCCGGACTTCTGGCCGACGCCAGAGCTATAGTGGAGAACGCGAGGGAAGAGGCGAAGAACTACCGCTCGGAATACGGTTCACCCATTCCTATCAAAGTATACACACTTTTCATGATTTATATTAAATTATATGACATTTTGTTTGGTTTGTTATCAATAATTGGTTTAATGTGTTGTCTGTATCGACGGCACGATATGTTGGCCTCATTTGTGACATATATTTGAAACCAAATTGACGTCAATTAGTGAATAACACGAAAGGAAATGTTATTAAATGAAATGAAATTGTTTTTTAAAAACAGTATCTGAAAGAGAGGACATCCATGTATTTGCACGCATACACTATGTATAGTGCGCTCAGACCTTTCGGATGTAGTCTTCTGGTGGCATCACATGATAACATCGATGGACCGCAACTCTATTGTCTCGACCCGTCGGGCCTTTCATGGGTTAGCATTGATTTAAAGAATGGCTTAATATTGATGAATGTGTTGTTCTCAGGGCTACTACGGGTGCGCTATAGGAAAGGCCAAACAGGCGGCCAAAACAGAACTCGAAAAGTTAAAACTCAAAGACATGACCGCAAAACAGTTGATCAAAGAGGCGGCCAAAATGTATGCCATTTATTATATTAAGTAGTATTGCGTATAGTTTTGATTGAGTTATTGTATGATTTGTATTGAACAGCATTTATGTGGTTCACGACGAGATCAAAGACAAGGCGTTTGAATTGGAGATGAGTTGGATTGGGGCCGACACTAACGGCAAACACGAATGGGTGCCCAAAGAGTTGTTCGATGAGGCGGAACAGGCGGCCAAAGAGGCCATCAAACCCGACTCTGACTCAGATATAGAACAGGAATGAGTTTTTGACGGACAGATATTTTGTCACACATTTTGGTGTTTTTCATTGAATTGTTTAGTTTGAAATAAAAACTAATTTTTCTAAATAATTTTCCTACTTTTTATTTTTAACCATAAAAACTCAATAAATAAATATTCATTGTATTTATTATTTTGTAAAATATTCGTTGACAAAAATCTTATTAATATTTTAATTTATGAGAGAATATATTAATAACTTAATATAGAATATTCTTTAGTAGAATGTGTATAGACTTTGAAGGAATGGTTAGATGAGCCCGAAATAGGAGAGAGCGCTTCTGGTGTACGTCGGAAGGAATGCATATGTCGTATAACTGGCCATCGCTATGAAGGCTAACAGTGCGGTGTCTGTCAGACAATGAGAGTATCATTAAGGAAAAAATAAGAGACAATTTGGGATAAAAATTAGTAGCAATTCGTTATCAATAATATCCGTTTGTATAGAAAGGGACGAATCGATGAATGAAATGAATGCCTGTATTGTATAGCCGTCTCATTTAGTGACAACTGTTTTGCAAAAAGCAATTCGTTGGTCATTAGTGTAGAGAAAAGGGAGAAAAGGGTTGAGTTTTTTTAATTGTATTTTGATTTTGGGCGGCAGTGCTATAGCGATGAAGTACTCAACAAATATTGAGTGCAAATCGCGATAAACGTTATAACTTATAAGAAAAGGATACTGAAAGTGGTCTTTTCCCAGGGCTCGAGCATATAGAGTGATGTGCGTAACTCATAGACCAAATACCAGTGCGAAAGTCTGTCACAAACTCTGCTAACAATGCCACTCATGTCACTGCTTCTCACACTCGCTTCTCAAAGCTCTAACCGATAGACCAATACTTGAGCCAAAAAACCAAAACCAATCGATCGGTCCTCTCGTTTGCTATTCCTGTGCTTTTTCGTCGCTTTCGTCGTTTTCGTTGCCTTTTTATTAAATAAATATCAAAATATAGAGAAAACTCTTATAAACTCAACCAAAATATTATATTATATCATAAGATCAACACAAATACATTTACTGTTAGCTCTCGATTGTCACACAACTACAACACCTGTCACCACACCATCCATACCATACCATACCATACCTATTATCGTCAAAACACTACATCGTTTTCATTCATACATTATATACTCTGTACTAAAACTCAAATATACAACACATACCTCTCGGCAAATAAGAAAGACTACACTAATTAACAATTGTGTATAAAACTAATTAAAATATATGAATACACGTGTTATTTAGACTGCAATCACCATATGATGACATAAACGGCAATTGTGTTACACATGCTATAGTGTACACAACTCTTGGATGCCTAACACTTTAGATATTAAGCCATATATTGTACAACTGGTTGAGTACACTATACCGTGTAATATATAGCACTACTGGTCTATTATATACATTATATAACTTATTCAATAAACTATATATAGGGGACAAACTCCGCAAACTCTGCTATACTTTACTTCAACAGCAAATGCAATAAAAAATGTTAGTTTTTTGCTCACAAAATAAGTGAAAATGTTTTCATCGATTGAATTGTCAAACCAAGAGATGAGATGGAAGTGCTTTTAGCATCACTTTCTTGACCACTAAAACCCATCACATATACCATACCATACCATACACTCACCTCTCAATACATCATACAATCAATTCATTTGCAATCATTTCAATCAAAAATCATTACACAAAACAACAACAACTCAGACATGAGTTGGGAATCGATAGCTATTAAAAACTATTAATAAATGGCATGAAAAACATGTCTCGAAAACTCACTATTTATTGCATACAATCGTGTGTTTGATTGTTGGGCACAACTTTAGAATGTGGTCCGCAGCGGAACAGGCCGCGGAGTGTATATTTAAATAGCCCTTGGTCAGTAGTACCGAGGTATGGTAGTCCGAGTTTACGACGACAACCCGTTTTCGAGATATTCGAGATAAAAGTTGTGATTTTCCCATTGAAGCCCATTATAAACAAAATTCTCTTTTTTACACCTTTTGTTATGTTATGTTACAGTTGTTCCGTAGATTAGACTTATATATACAGTATACGGGATAAGACATACATGTATATATAAAGTTGTTCCGGGGATAAGACATATAAAGAGTTGTAAACTATATGTATATATGTATATGTATATTTATAAGTTGGTTAGGTTAGGTTAAGTTGGTTAGGTTAGGTTAGGTTAGGTTAGGTTAGGTTAGGTTAGGTTAGGTTAGGTTAAGTGTAAAAAAAAGAAAATTTTGTTTATAATGGGCTTCAATGGGAAAATCACAACTTTTATCTCGAATATCTCGAAAACGGGTTGTCGTCGTAAACTCGGACTACCATACCTCGGTACTACTGACCAGGGGCTATTCAAATATACACTCGGCGGCCATTTTTGTTGCGGTCCAGAAAACAAAGGGCAGCCGATTGTTGTGTTGACTATAACTGTAAATCATATGTGAAGTCAATATGCAATCAATACAATCGATACAATGCTTGTGATTAAGGACTCAATTGTTAGACTTGTATACCATTTCATTGACAACTATTTC